CCCTACACAAAATAAGTAGTTAGGAAATACCCAAAAGATGTAGACTATGATGTCAAAAAAGTTAAACATAGAAGGGGAGTAAAAACTCAGGGTTGTTAAAATACATTCAAACTTAAGAGGACATCACATCAACCTAAAATAATCACATATATATTGATTGCTATATATAAACCTCTGGTAACCAAACTAAAAATCTGTAACAGATACAAACACAAAAAACTGAAAGAAATCTAAACATAATATTAAAGACAGTCATCAAATCACAAGGAATGAGAGCAAAAGAAGAAGGAATAACAACAACAACAAAACTACAAACTAAACCTGAAAACAATTAACAAAATGGCAATAAGTACAAACGTATCAACAATTACACTTAAAGTGTATATGGACACAGAATGCTCCAAACAAAAGACATAGGGTGGCTCAATGGATACAAAAACAAGACTTGTATATATGCTAATCAAGAGATTCAGTCCAGATCTAAAGGAACACACAGACTGAAAGTGAGGGAATGGACAAAGGTATTCCATGCAAATGGAAATTTAAAAGAAACCAAGGTAGCAATCCTTATATCAGACAAAGCAGACTTTAAAACAATGACTGTAACAAGAGACAAAGTAGGACTTTACCTAATAATAAAGGGATCAATCCAAGAAAAAGCTATAACAATTGTAAATATATATGCACTCAACATAGAAGCACCTAAAGACATAAAGCAAATATTAACAAACAAAGAGGGAGAAATGGACAGCAACACAATAAAAGTAGGGGGCTTTAACACCCCACTTACATCAATGAACAGATCATCCAGAGAGAAAATCAATATGGAAACACTAGCCTTAAACAACACATCAGACCAGATGGTCTTAATAAATATAGAATATTCCATCCAAAAGCATCAGAATACACATTCTTTTCAAGTGCACATGGAACACTCTCCAGTATAGATCACATGGCAGGCCACCAAACAAGTCTCAGTGAATCTGAGAAGACTGAAATCATATCAAGAAACTTTTCAGGCACATGCTATGAGACCAGAAATCAACTACAAGGAAAAAAAAAACTGCAAAAAAACCCATAAACATGTGGAACTAAACAACCAATGGGTCACTGAAGAAATCAAAGAAGAAATCAAAAAAATAACTGGAGACAAATGAAAATGAAAAACTCAATGATCCAAAATCTATAGGTTTCAGCAAAAGCAGTTCTAAGAGGGAAGTTTATAGCAATACAAACCTACCTCAGGAAACAGGAAAAATCTCAAATAAACAACCTATCCTTGTACCTAAAGGAACTAGAGAAAGAAGAACAAACAAAACCCAAACTTAGTAGAAGAAATCATAAAGAATATAGCAGAAATAAATAAAAGAGACTAAAAATAATAGAAAATGTCAATTAAAATAAGAGCTGGTTCCTTGAAAAGCTAAACAAAATTGATAAAACTTCAGCTAAACTCATCAAGAAAAAAAGAGAGCTCAAATTTTAAAAAAAATCAGAAATGGAAGTGAAGTTACACTTAATACCATGCAAATACAAAGGATCATAAAAGATTACCATGAACAATTATACGCCAATAAAATGGACAAGTTAGAAGATATGGACAAATTCCTAGAATATACAATACCCCAAGACTGAATCAGTGCTCATCCAGAGAGGAATGGATAAAGAAAATGACACGCGTGCACGCACACACGCACACGCACGCACGCACGCACACACACACACACACACACACATGAATACTACTCAGCCCTAAAAAATGAAATCTTATCATTTGTGACAAAATGGATGGAACTAGAGGGTATTATGTTACGTGAAGTAAGACACAGAAAGACAAATACTGTATAATTTCACTTATATGTGGAATCTAAAAAACAAATGAACAAACTTAAAACAGAAACACAGTCATAGACACAAAGAACAAACAGGTAGTTGCCAAGGGAGAGGGGTTGTGGGGGGGGGAGGAAATAGGTGAGGGAGATTAAGACAAACTTCCAGTTACAAAATATATGAGTCACAGGTATGAAATGTACAGTGTGGAAAATATAGTCAATAATAATGTAATATCTTTGTATGGTGACAGTTGATAACTAGACTTATCATGGTGATCATTGTGAAATGTAGAGAAGCATCGAATTACTAAATTGTGTACCAGGAACAAAAATAGTTTTGTA